GTGTCGAATCGTACGGTGTCGAATAATCTGGTGTCAAATCGTACGGTGTCGAATAATTTGGTGTCGAATAAATCTGTGTCGAATCGAGCGGTGTCAAATTGTACTGTGGTCAAACGGAACACGCCCCTTTTTTCTCCCTAATCGGAGAACAATCCAAGGCATTCCGCCGCAAGATCCTAAGTTATTAGGAGCAGAGCCACCCCGAACAACCGGGCCCAACAAGCAGCTCAGCAGTCTCCGAGTCCAGGAGTTTCTTCCGTGGAGGCTCATCCCGATAGACTTCTCGCCACCAGCAAGGGATCGACCACGGTCACCGCCTGCCTCTACCAGGGATCGACTCCTGACATCACCTGCCGTCACCAGGGATCTACCACTAACGCCGTCAGCCACATCGAGGGATCGCTCTCTCACTCCTCCAGCGGTTCCGATTACTGAGTACAGGGACGCCTCAACTCAAACCACTCGTCGGAGGACCAGAGGACGAAGACTCCGGACCTCTACGGCCGATCAGTCGTGCCAAGCCGACACCACCCGGCCGATTCCAGTCGTAACGACGACGTCTACCCAGACAGACCCGGACGACGCAGCATCGCCGTCCTTACCTCCCTGAGGGAACACGGAGTGGCGGCTAACCACCACGGAGCCGAGAATCTTTTGGAGGGAGAAACCGAATTAACGGTCCTCATCAGGGCCACTACACAAACGGACCTTCTCAGGGCCCCTTTTATAAAAACCAAAAATCAATTTCTTGTACAAAGTGTGAATATATCATTTCCTTTAAAAAAAAAGCTTTTATCTTTTGCACGCCTACGGAGTACTCCTCTCTTCTCGTTGCCATCACTGCTGCAGAACCTTCCGCCGAAAAGCCAAACCTATGTAAGTAAAGATCATAAATATCTGTTTTTTCGGGTTTGCACCGCGTTAGTGTCATTTTAATACAGTATCAGGCTGCTCTTCAAACCCTGATGAAGTAAGCTGTAATGTTCACGAAACGTCGGTATTAAAATGACACTAACGCGGTGCAAACTCGAAAAAACATCTTTGTATGTTAATACTACACACCGCGAAAGCATCAAATATCAAATCATAAATATCTACTAATTTAATCAATGTTTTCTATTGTGTTTTTGGATTTATATTAAATCGATTTACTTTTCATAAAATAATAATCTTTTTGTTTGTAGAATTTTCCACCTCCGATCCCTATAATAGGCCCTATGTTTTTACCAAGAGGATTAAGACCAATTGCTCGTGTACGTAGATATCCTTATCCTTATCCAGTAGGACCAATCAGACCACGATGTCCTAATCCGACTAGATATAGATACGGTGCTCCTAATAGAATGTAATCTAAGTGTAAAATGTAAGTATAAGATCTTCTCGGGAATTTTTTAATTCAAAAAACGACAATTTTTGCACCAATAATATATGTATTTTATTTACAAGTTTTAAGTGCATTTATAACACGTATATACGACAAATAAAGTTAAACAATATATATGTATATTTATGACATATAAATGGAAAACAAATAAAATTTATAACGCGCATGTATATTTTACCTTAGCCTAAGAAAAAAATAAGAAAGCTCTTATTATAAGATGTGTATAGTGACNTCTCTCATTTGTAACTAGCAAATATAATACGTAGAAATAAATATTCGATGTTTAATTTGTTAATGCTTTGTCCTTTTATTCTGTAACTTTTGGGACAATTTTGTTGTCATTAACGCAGCAATNGTCTCACAGTTTTGCAATTTTGTGATACATTTTATCTGTGATAGGATTTGTAACGCAAGTGTTAAAAGTTACAGAATACAAGAGAGTTTGTGAATTTTTTATTATTTTAAAATTTTATCATTTGCATTATCTCTCTGAATATTTGTTTCTGCATATTAAAAGCTCCTTATTGTTATATTATAAAATATAAAACAATAGTCTATTTAATCGAAAGAAACTTATGTATGAATATTCTTTTTATAGATAGATGATGCAGTCTTTAAATTTGGCAAAAACTGCGCCGTTTTTTTGTTTTGTTTTGTTTTGGATGTTTATTTCATTTATGCATGCAAAAAATCAATACGTAGTGTATCTACAATATAATTAATTTCTCGTTCTCTTCCATACTGTTACTCTCTGTCTGCATATTTATTCCAGATATTAGTTTTTAAACAGGAATATCACGCAAAAAGTTCAGTTAATGAATATACAGATAAGAGAAAAATAAATTTATTCACTTTAAAAGTGAAATGTTTGAATATGTTGGATCTCAAATGTACTAAATAGTCAAATAAATGCTTCTAAGTAAAATTTTATGGACTTTTGATTAAAAATATGAAAACTAAAGTCTTTTTTGTTTTGTAATAAAATATAAATTTAAATGATTTCTATATTTAACAATTGTAATTTGATAGTTGATAAGATATAATTCATAAATAAAATTGTTTCAGACTAATAAAGATAAACCACTAACAAACTTTCAAATTTACGGTTAATTACAGTAAATTATGAATGCAATATACTTTTAATTTTATTTTCTCTACAAAAAAAAATTTAGGGGTTTTTAGATGAAATTTAGGGGGATTTTAATTTGTTTTAGGAGGAAAATTTTGTAGTAATTGGTGACATTGTCCATGAGTATAAGCTCTATGCACAGATTATATATATATATATATATATTAGAAATGGGCAATGTATAAAAAAAAAATCGATGCTAAATTAATCGACGTTTGAATATATCGATGCTGATTAATCGATTATTTAAAAAAACTATCGATGAATCGGTTAGTTTTTTAAAAACGGTTTTTGTGATAAGGCGTATCTCGATATAAAAAAAATAGCGGATTGGAACAGTAAAGCTTACTATAATAAAAACAATAATAAATAAAAAATACAGATAAAAAATAAATGGCTATTGGACACTTGACAAATAAGAGTTTTACTTTTCCGAAAAGAAACTCATTAGATAGTGCTCATTGCGTTCAATGTGCAATGGCCACACATTATTCTTTATTCTTTATTTTTTATTTTTTTTATAGTTTTTAATTTAACGTTTCTAACAAAAAATAAATTAGATAAAAAGTATCAGAATAAACAAAATCAGCGAAACTAAATTAAAATGAAATCATTTTATTGTTAATCTATTATTTAGTTTTTTTGTTCTGTTTTTATTTTTTTCTGCATCGAAATCTTTAATTGTAGAAATAATTTAAAGGTCAATGATTTTATAAAGGAATAATGCAAATTAATAATATAATTTTTATTTCTTTATCTCTCTTTCTTTGATAAAAAATTTAATTAAATAAACACCGATATCTGACATAAAAAATCGATGCATCGATGTAATGATAAGGAAAACATCAAACCAATTAATCGATTACTAAAAAGAAAACTATCGTTCATTTCGATTAATCGTAAAATATCGCCCATCCCTACTTCATATTCTTCTTCTTCTTCTTTTTTGCTTCTATGGCGCACGCCCCTGCACGTGAGGAGCAAAAGCCAGTCTGAGATAAATGATTAAAGGTGCGATACTAGGGACTTTATTACAGGTGCTACATCTATAAGGTAAAGGGTAGAAGGAGCAGGTGTAATAAAGCTGAGGAATAATGTCTGTTCGTTTTACCTGAACTGGCCGCTCTAGGTCAGAGTTTATCCTTCTTTTTCCAACGTAGAGTAAAGAAGATAAACTCTGACCTAGAGCGGCCAGTTCAGGTAAAACAAACAGACATATAGTTTCAAATCTACAGGAGAGAATTACACGTTGATGTTGGTAGCGCTAGCAAAGGAAAGGAGAGCGTACATCGAGCAAAAACACTTGGAAAAGGCAACCTCCTCTACACGGTAGGGAGGGCTAAAGCCGTTATGATATAAATCGACTATTAGCTTGTCGGAGTGGTCTTTGTACATAGGACATCGGAAAAAAACGTGGTTTACATCTTGTACTGGGTGGCCACACGGGCACTCCGAGGAGGCCACAATGCCCTTCTGTTTCAAGTGTAGATTGACAGCTGTATGANGTGAACGTATTCTGGACACGAGTGTAATTAACGGACGGGGTAGGACCTTTCTTTTCTTTACTTTGACAAACCAAGGCTTACCCAAAGGTACAGGTTTTTTCAGGAAGTACGCAGTTCCCTTGTTAGTTGACTCTTCCAGTAGTTGTCTCTTAGCCATGTCCAACGCTTCTAGCCGAAATGTGGGGAACAGCGAGGAGACATCCAGCTCACCTTCTGAATGCGGTTCAGTGAGGGTTAAAGCGAGTTTAGCGTACCTATCGGCTCTTTCGTTGCCACTCACGTTGCTGTGACCAGGGACCCACATCAACACTACAGACACCACTCAACTCCATCATTAACTCTTTTATGCGATATATCAGAGGGGGGTGCGCTCCTTTGGGATCGGGCGTGTTCCGTTTGACCACAGTACGATTCGACACTGCTCGATTCGACACAGATTTATTCGACACCAAATTATTCGACACCGTACGATTCGACACCA